CAAATATAATATACATTTATCGGTTTGGTTTGGTTCGATTATTCGGTCATTAACCATACACAAAAATAAAATAAACAATTTATTCAAAACGAAAAATAGTTAGAATGACTTAAATTACTAAACTTTCAATCACTAAATTTACTATCAATAAAGCTTTAAAATTCACTATATTGGCCTAGAAGGAAGAGACAATAACATTTTCAGTCCCACAAATAATTGACATAGACACTCATATACATGAAATCAATAAGATAAATGTTTCATCTTGGGCATTTTTGCTTTCAATAAGTAAATTATAAAGAAATTTTAATGAAAATATGTATAAGATCTTTAAAATTGTTTATAAAAATAATAAATTGAGTATGTATATTAACAAAATATATGTATATAATTCATCGGTTCGGTTTGGTTATTTCTTCGGTTTTTTCGAATAAAACCATAACCAAACCAATTACTATCGGTTTTCAAAAATCTAAAATCAAACCAAACCAAACCCAAATAAAATCGGTTTTATTTTATCGGTTTGGATCGATTTTTATCCAAACCGTGAACACCCCTAATGTTCGGTATGAACGAAAATGTTTTTCATGTAAAATGCTTTCATTGAAAACAAATATCTCACAAAATATCGGTATTATGTGAAGGAAAAATTACATAAGTGGATGTCTTTTATTTAATAATTACCACTTTTAAGTATACTTTTAATTTATTACCATTTTTGTCAACTTTTAGCAATACTCAAACAATCTTGTTCCTTTGAACTTAGCAAAAAGTGCTGTCATTCACAACTTTTAGTAATACTATCATTCAGCCAAATTGTTATATATAGTTAAAAGAATAATGTTGACAAATGTCGTAAATATTTTTTAAAAAGTGTACACGCAAGTGATTTTCCCTTATGTGAATATGCAATGACATAGATACATTGTATTTCTCTTGTATATGGATATATTATATTTCTCTTCAGCATGAAATAAACATATTTCGTGATCTTTTAAAATAAATTGTCATTGTATTTCATAAATACATAAACTATGAATATATTTCATATTTAGTAAGAAAATCATAATTAATTGAATGGCGAATTAATTAATTACCAATACAAAAACAAAAAGGTAGAGAAAATGTTTTTGTTTTTCACAATATGTTAAAAGATGTTGGGATCCTAATTTCACTCAATATATTTATATAAAGTAAAAATTTATTCTTTGATTTCTATTACTCATAAAAATATAAATATCTCTTGCGATTATATTTATATTTTATCACTAAAGTTGAACGATTAAATGCAATACTCTTGATTATACAATTTAATTGTCAAAATAGCAATATTTATGAACTAGAAAAATGTACTTGAACTTAAAGCATGTTTTTTCTTCTTAGTAAATCTCTTCCGATTATCTTACTTGTTATAACTAATTATTATATTACTAGTGAAATTGTCTGCTCTGTGCGCGGTTATCAAACACGATAAGATGTTATTATACATTTATATAGACATATGATTGATTTCATAGAGGAAAATGTTCGATTAGTAGTTAGATGACTTCCAACAAAGTCATAAGTTACTATTTTAAATCAAAAGAAAATACAAACTTACGACAATAATTTTTTTATATAAAATATAAAACAAAGAGAAATCAAGAACTATAACAAAAAAATACAACATCATTCTTATAATCTTAATCATTAAAAAATAAAAAATAAAAAACACACACAATCAATACATAATCTTTCGAGCTCTTGTCTACATCCATTCCCACAAGCCAATCAATATTCAATAGTTTTCATTTTATTTTTCAAATTAAATTAAAAAATGAATAAAATAAGTATCGAAAACATAATAATTTAAAAGGCTAATATAATCATTTCTCCAAAAGTCTTACAATACTTCTATTTTTAGGATTATAATATGAATAATAAATAATGTCATGAATATGACTATTAATTCTTTTAGAGGATATGATATTAAAAATTATGAGAGTAATGAAAATAACAATCCTTAAGTTTTGCGATAAATAATATGAATGAACGATTAATTGATATATTTATAATTCCACAATAAAAAAATAGAGAAATTGTACTATATAAAAAAATAAATAGAATTCTTAGCCAAAGATTATATATTAGAATAAAGATGAAAAACTTAAGAGACTCAAGACATTATTGTATAACTTTTAGTGTTATTTAAAACGTTTAGTGAATGGTTTGTAATTGAAAATTCATGGGAAAAAATTAGATTTAAACATTTTTGAGGAAGTAAAAACCAAAAAAAGAGAGAGAGATTTATGTCCAACAAAGTCATACTACTGTGAACGAAAATAAATTATAAATTTACGACAATCAAAATTTTATATTAAATAATACAAAATAAAGAAAAATCATGAGAGAACTAAAATAAATTATGCAACATCATTTTTGGGATCTTAATCATTAACACATTAAAAAAAATATGAAATCAATATACAATCTTCCGAGCCACAATCCACAATCGTCGTTTAATAACTTTCATCTTATTCTTTCATGTCAAATCAAAGCATCAACATAGAAAGTAACAATATAAAATGCTAATGTGCTCCGTTTGACAAAGTCCTATAATATCTTTATTTACATGACTACAATATAGGATAACACATAATATCATGAATATGACTATTAATTATTTTAGAGGTTA